TCTTTATAGTTGTCGCTAATGATGGGGTAACCCGAAACTAGTACGACTTTATATAAATAAACGCAAGTTAGAAGTTTTTATATGGTTTTTATTTGATCATTATTCTTGCAACATGGATAACTCTTTCAATTAAAAAAAGAGGCTTATCAAGCCGTTGCCAAATATCGCACTGATGTGATGGGTACTGGTGGAGGTCCATGTGAAGAAAAGTTAAACCCGTTACATGAAAGAATTAGAAATTTGATAAAACTAAGCTGCGATGAACACTATCACAATTCGATAGTGATTGTTTGTTTGGCTCAATTCATACGAACGTAAATTACGCTACAAATCTTTTAGTAGAATTTCGATAAAGTGCATACCGTACGTAACGGTCATGAAACCTGCGGATGATCTCTGCGATATTATGTAATGAAAAAGCAGTTGCTGCGATCACATTGAAAAAGCTAAGAATCAACGATCTTATTATCAAACATGGTGAGCCACTGAAGATCCAACTCAAGTGCTATCATTCGACTTTGCCCAAATAGTGCATTACCCAGTACTTCAAGGCGCTGAGAAAATATGCTGTATTTGGTATCGTCAATGAAAAAGAAAAAAATCCAGTACAATTATCTCATAGATGAAGAGGATGACAGTGGAAAAGGTCCTAACTGTGTCGTTAGTATCTTACATCATTATTTAGAAAATTCGGTTAGAAATGATAATCTCGTTCTATTCGCCGACAATTGCGTAGGACAAAATAAAAATAATACGGTACTGGCATACCTATTGTAGAGAGTGGCTCGTGGAATGAAGAAATCTGTTTTATACAATTTCCTTCTCACGGACCATACTAAATTTTCACCAGATAGGTATTTTGGCATCTTAAATGTAAATAGCTCGAAGTAATATCGATACGTATAGAGATTTGATGAGATGTGTCACCGATTCGTCCCCCAGCGGCCATAACAAGCCAGTTTCGGCTAAACAAGTAACATAGTACGACTGGATATCATATTTAAAAGAATATTTTCCTTGCTTGAAAGGTATAACTAAATATCACCACTTTATAATTTGCGAGAATGGCATAGTGAAGCTGAAACGATATGCAAATAGCGAGGAATTTGAGCAGGTCAGTCTTATGTTCAAGCCAGTGGATGAGCAAAAAATGCCAGAAAAGCTTAAACGGTCGTAAAGTCACTTGAAAGACAGTGGTATTTATTCAAGACCGTTCGGAACTTAGTAATTGATCCCAGCAAACAAAATGAACTAGCACCGGAACCGCTGAAAAAGTTGGAAAAAAAGAAAACAAAAGATAACCGCGGTAGGATACATGAAGATGTTTTGAAGGAGCAGAATGCGAAAATAAAACAGAAAAGAAAGAGACATAAAAAGGTGTTAAAGGCACCTTGCATTAAACTTTCGATGCAAATAACTCAGCCGCGAAGATAGCTGCGAAGCTGAAGTTAAGTTCATTGAAAAGATCGCACTTTACACTATTAGAATGATTCAAAATCTCAAAATCGACCTCTTGACACCTAAACCCCCTTTCCATAGTCTCCAGGTCATAATTATATTTATTAATTAATTAATAATTTTTAATATTTAGTTCGTAGATAAATATTACGTAGATATAAAACTGTGCGTGAAGTACTACTAACTTCACACACTGTTTCATAAATAACTATGATATGATGGCATAGACCATAGACTTACTACACTAGACCGCGCCTCCATAGTAGCTGCTATAAGAGCGTGTGTTGCCAAGATAGGTAGGCAACCCGTAGTCCAAGGAGGGGTAGAAAAGCGAATGTAGCATTCAATGTAGTGCATATCTCCTTTACTACAACTTGCGGTATTATTTTAGAGCAAACCCCAGGCTTATATAGAAACAAACGGAAAAGCATATATGGAAATTTCGCATTTTTTTAGTCGTATTCGACTATACAGTGTTGACCAAAGACTTTGTCTTTACAAATTTTACTCGTCTCGTATGTGATTTCACTTATATCGAAATTTAGGTGGAACAGTGGTAATAGTAAAAACACAATTCATTTTGACAATTTATATTTATTGTTTTGTATACAAACTACTTAAAATAAGAAAAATCAAAACTGTACAAAACAAAACGTATAAAGATAAAAGTGAGAACCGCACTCAGGATTATCGTAAAGTACTATGCTGTAGTACAATTTGGTAACCTACTAGTGTTTAAACAACGTTAGTTTGTTATATATTTGCCTTATCCTGACATTAATTTCATTCATATCTTTGTCTTGATGATGTATGCGAAGCGTGAAATACACTTTTAGAATTAATTTTATGAGTTGTACAATGTGATTATTAATAAATAAATAAATAGGGTCTTGATCTAAAATATGCTGATTTAAAGACGTAAACAGAGTGCTAGTGTTATATACTTTCCGAAGACCGTTTAATATCATTCTATTAATATCAGGATGATTATTTGATTGTACGTAAAACCTAAAAATATTTTCAGCGGTACCACAATTGCTTACATCATTTGAAGCAGTTAACAATCCTCCCCGATTTTTTCTGTTCAAAAGATATGAGTTACTTTCTACCGCAAATAAAGCATCTGCACAAATAGCACATTTGATTGACTTGGCTGTTTTTCTAGACACAAAACCATATATGTACTCAGTAACATTGATTAAATATGGTGACTAATTTCCGAAATACGGAACTTGTTCGCTTCCTTCGTCTGTTTCGGTTTCAGAAAAAGCGTTCAGAAGATCATCAACATGCTCTTTTTGATTGCCACTACTTACTCCACCGAACATGCGATGTTTCAACTGTTGGAAAATATCATCTTGGGATTAAATGAAAAACAGGCCACAACAGCACTGTTCATGGACCTTACAAAAGCCTTTGATAGTGTACATCACTCAATCCTTTTGACCAAGTTGGAGAGACTTGGCTTTAGAGGTGTTAGCTTGTCATGGATGAAATCCTATCTATCAGGGAGGTTACAACGTGTCCCCACAACGAACAGGGAACAAAAATAAGATCAGCTTGGAGAGAAGTCAAGCTGGAAGTACCTCAGGGTTCCATATTGGGACCTCTATTGTTCCTCCTGTATGTGAATGACTTACCACGTGTAACGAACAACATTACGAATATTACGATAATGTTTGCGGATGACACAACGACTGTGGCGAGGTGTAACACTGATTATGAAATCCAGAAATCACTTACTGTGGATCTGAATAAACTTGCGGATTGGTTTGAAGCGTACAACATAAAGTTAAGTACAAAAAAAACGAAAATTGTTAATTATCATTTATGCTCTGACCAGATCAAGGCGAGGATCGGGATACTGAGATTGCCAATGTTGAAGAGATTTCGTTTCTGGGTTGGAAAATGGATCCTGGACTGTCTTGGACCAATTATATTGATTTCCTTGCTGGCAAGAACAGTCATTTCTCCTATGCCATTCGGATTATTTCCAGATCAGCTGGTATTGAGGCAGCATTAAGTGCCTATTATGCTTATGTCCATTCCTTGCTAAGATATGGAGTTGTCTTTTGGGGCCGTGGTGTTGGTATAGATAGAATCTTCGTACTACAGAAGAGGTGTGTAAGAGCAATCTTTGGTCTAAAAAATACTGATAGCTGTAGAAGTTACTTTAAAGACTATAAAATACCTACCTTGTATGGAATTTATATTCTGGAATGTGCTGTATTGGTTAGGAAGAATTACTTTGAATTTTTCAAAAAATATGAAATATCACATCCTCGAAACACGCGCGGGAAGGTGAAGTGCTATCTGGTGCCACCAAAAACGCACCTTACTAAGATTCAGCAGACGGCTCTGTACCAGAGTCGTACAGTCATTTTGGAAGGCACAAAGATCCTGCCAGTTCTAGGATCCGATGTATACCATTGACATGTTTTTCCAATTTAATGTTTGAACTCAATGTGTATTATATTACAATGCAATTATTGTTAAATTGACGTACTCTACGCTTTTTTGGTAAAATGGGGGGAATAAAGTATTATTATTATTATTACTGTCAAAATAGAAGTATTGTCCACGCGCACGCAATTTGCAGAAGTGGATGCTTCAATTTCAGTTTTCAATAAAAGCCTCTTCTAGGCACCTTCAAATTGTTTCGCTGTTTGATTGTTATTGAATCCACCTCTTGATCTGATAACCGAAAAAAACATCTCGATGTGATTCTGGCTCCATAAGGAGTCCATCAGGTTTTGTTTGACCAAATCTTCGAATAAGTTTTGTACGCTTAGGATAGATATGATCAAGCCTAGGAATCCAGTTTTTCTACCAAAATCCAGAGAATCCAGAGAAATCCAGAGAAATCAGCATCTGCAACACTTGTGCTCAAAACTTGTACAGCCAATCTGACTTTCATAATTTCCCGTCGGAAATGTATGTGCCTTTTTATCAATTTATTAGCAGCATGTAGGCCTTTAGTCTGTTGCAAGTTTATTAAAGAAATATCATTTAATTTTAACCAATCGGCAAGAGTATTTCTGACAAGTTTCACCATGTGACAAGGGTCTACTATTATATGGATACGTTCATTGTTCACAGGATGTCGAAACCAGGGTTGTGCATCAGGATATCTTAAATTTGCTTCCAATTTTGATGCAACAGCAAAATTTGTTGCAATTCCGTCAAATGTCATAGAATTTTCTGCCCCTCCATGCTGTTTGGGTTGCATATCATCTTGACAACAGCTTGCACTCGCCACGCGTAGTCTAGAGGAGTAAGTCTATGTATGATGGCAAAAATGTAAATCACTCTGTATAATTTCAAAGTAAATTTGAGCTTTGGCACTTATTTCAATTAATAAACAAATTTATTAACGTCTTTAATTAATTTTATAACCTAAAAACTAGTTTTATGTTTTGACCTTGGAAAGCGTTCCAATCATAGCGACATCTAGCTAAAACTGCGTTCAAATATAAAGTTCGTTACAACGGTTACAACACGATCAAGTGACTCATACAACAGCACAGCACGTTCGAACACGTTTACAACGTGGACGTTTTCTTTAGCCGTTTCTTTTTAATATAACGCGTTAAATCCTTCGGAAATTTCGTGTATTTTAAGTGTAAATGAAAATGGGAAGCTTGGACGAGTCATCTTCACCAATGGAACAAGTTTCGTTAGATTTGATTTTTACTAGAATTGCCCATCAATTAAGCGAGTATGAGAGCAAGTATGAGGAGGAAGGTAAGCAAATTTATTACAATATATCTACATATAAATAAATAAATTTAATCAAACCGAACTTTAAAATAACAAATGTGAGGTTAGAATTTTTTAATAAAAGGTAAACCGTTAATGAATTCTATAACCATTTCGAACGTGTAAGTGTTAATTACGTTAAAACATGTAAATAGTGTTGTTTTCCTGCTTAATTATTTATAAATTCTGTTGAGATTGGTATTTTTATTTGTTTACGGTTGGTATCATTGCTTTCATTTGTGTTGTCGCAAATGGATGACAGTTTTCTTTGTACAGTTCGTTTTTTTTTCTATAATATCTGTCAAATTATTGTAAAGTTGGCAAAATTAACAGGAAGTTTTGTTTTATCATGTTTTGAAATAAATAAATGTTTATTTTATCATTATCAGCATAATACAATTGTACTAGTTTGGGCTTATTGCAAGACCTGTTATAATAAACATATCAACGGTTCAACGATGTACTTTAAGAAAAAAATCATGTCAGTAACATGTGGCGTACTGCTTTGTTAAATTATACAGCAGAATTATTCAACAATTGTATAAATCACGTTGAAAACTTAATTGAAAAAGGCTGGTACAATAAATATATACAGGGTGGGCCAAATTGGACACTTTTAAAGGGAAACTCCTCTTTCTATAAGAGATCGAGGAAAAATGATATCAGTGTCTATGGCTCGATTTTTATAAGAAACTTAATGGCGAAAACCGCATATTGATATCTCTTACGGTTTCAGAGATACAGGATGTTTTTCAAAAAAGTGCATTTTCGAAAAGTCAACTTTTTTCTTATTGATAAATCTTCCTTTCTGTGAAAACATTTCCACAGCAACTTTTCATGCAGAATTCGCTTTCCCTCAAATCAATATTTTAGTAGTTATTGACATAAAAATGATTTTTTTAAATGGAACATCTTATATATTTTTGCAAATTCGACGAGAGCATAAAATTTCCTTTCCAAAAATATAGCACACTTGATATCTCGTTCAAGTCTTCATTGAAATATACAACTTTTAAACTTTTAATATTTTCAATTGCGTACTAGTAGGCTATATATAAAGCCCTATATAAAGCTTTATCGGCGTTTTGATAAAACAAATGCATTATTTATGAGTATCTATCTGTCAAATTTTGATTCAAGTTGAAAGTGTTAGTGCTTATCGTTAGAGTATTACTTAGTTGTCATCAACTTTCAAAATAATGTCATATAAAAATTATGAAAAATGGGGCATAATACTATGTTTTATACAATCTTGGGAGAATGCAGAGACTGTAGGAAATTTATATCATGAACGATATCAATGGAAAATAATCCACAGATATCAACGCAGCAATTGAGTGTAACCACGGGAATTCAAAGAACCAAACCTAGGCGGATTTTGAAAAAATTCAGATTTAAGCCATACAGAACTAGCAAAGTCCATTACCTCAGACCAGGAGATCTTGAACGGCGCATGAATTTTTGCCAATGGCTCTTGGGAAAATGTGACGAAGCACGCAATTTTTCTTTAAATTGTATTTGGACCATTGAGATCTTATATATAATCTAGAGTGCGTATGCTGGTGTCCCCACCACGCCTAAAATGAAGCCAGAAAGGTCGCCATGTTAGATGTACCAACTTAGCGGGAAATTCGAAATTCTTATATATAGTTATGCAGAATTTACATTATTATAAACTGGAAAGACAGAAAATAATAACCAAAACAAAATACATTAATTTTTTATTAATAAATAATTATTAATTATATAATATTTTAAAAGAACTTAATAATCTTTAACAATAACCCTTATAATTAACATAAACTAAGAAGAAAATATTTAAAACAATTCTGATTGATCACGTTAACCTTTTGCTTATAAATAATTGTTAGTTTATTTTAAAAGAACTGAATATTCCTTAATAATAAACTTTACTTGAACTTCATTGTTAATTTCAAGTCAACTAACCAGAAACATTTTATGGACTGTTGTAAATAATCTTCTAACTTACCAAATTATAAAAAACATATGTGAAACAAAAAGAATTCGAAAACCTTCAACAAAAATAAAATTGTAATAAAAATAACAATGTATTTATGAGAATTGTGAGGTTATAATTGCAGGTACAATAGAGACTTGAAACTATAGTTAAGTTCAGGTCGGTACATCCAACATGTCTGACTTTCTGATTACCCCCACCACCACCACATACGCACTCTAGATTATATATAAGACCTCAATGATTTGGACAGATGAAGCGTATCTGAGTATTGTTGGTGTACAGCACAAATAAAATATTTGAACATATTGAGGCAACAAATCGAACCTGTTGACGAATTACCTCTAGCGCATCTGCGAAATGTATTTTTTCAACATGATGTTGCACCGCCTCACAATGCTACTATTGTCATCAATTTTTTGACCGCAGCTTTTGGTGATTGTTGGTGATCGGACCTAACACCTATGGATTTTTTCCTTTGGGTAAGATTGAAAGATGTTATCTATAAGCAGCCAATAAATTCCCGACAGCAGTTAGAAGCCACAGTTGTGAACTCTTTTGCAACACTTAGGTCCATTGAACTTATCAACTCGGCAAAAAGGGCTAAAAAAAGATGTCGACTGTGTATAACACAAACCATTTTGGGGACATTCTGAACATTTTCTATGGAACAGGCGTTTACTTTTGTTATTATTTGTTGCCATATATTTATTCTTGATTTATAATAAGTTTTATTACTTTAATCTGCTTTTTGTTTATAAGTTTATGTTCTTATTCATTGTAACCAACTATCTTGATGATACTACTTATAAATGTAATCTCGTTTTTCTTTTATTTCCAAAGCCTACTTTTTCACAATTTGTACATATAAGTTTTAAAGTTGTATACAGCGTGTCCCGTATCTTCCGCATCCGCTCGATACTGAAGCGATCTTTCTAATAAAATTTTTCCGAAATATCTCTCCTGTTTAAAGTCTCTCCAATACCTATTCACTTCAATAGCGCAAAAAGTTTATTTCTCTTTCCGTGTCGAATCTATTGGTGCGAAACTAGTTTAGAACGGCGCGGTGGACCGGCCCGGCCGGGGGTGAGACCTGTATCTCTGAATCCGTAAAAGATATTGATATGCGGTTTTCGCCATTAAGTTTCTTATAAAAATCGAGTCTCAGACAGTGATATTATTTTTCTTGTATCTCTAATAGAAATAGGAGTTACCCTTTAAATGTGCCAAATTTAGCCCACCCTGTACTTCGATAAAATCGTATTTATCTAAAAATGTATTAGTATTTTAACCTCGACTATTTAGTTATTGCAATGTTACTAAAAATTAGGAAAATAACGTAAATTTTATAAGGGTAGTACCTAGGTAATACCAACAGAAACCTTAAAAAATGTACCTTGACAATATTATACAGGGTGTATCTGAATGACTACAACAAACTTCAAGGGTGATTCTTTAGTGAATTTTAAGGGTACTTTAATGTAGTAAAAAAAACTGGCATTTATACGTCAAAAATATTTCTGATGCAAAGCTTACTAAGATTTTTTCATTATAAATTCATTCCAACTTTCGATTAACAATTTTTTGCTTAATTAATTTGCTTAATTAATTTTTATCTGAGAAATTATTAAATACCTTCATAAAAAAAATCTAGGCATAAATTGAACGGGAGTGGTTAGGTTTAGTAGCTTAGAAGGGAATATTGAAAGTACAAATAAGCTAAAAACGTGCCTATTATAAGATAAACTTATTCTCCAAATTTCATTTACCTGGCGTTTTTAGTTTTCGAGAAAAATAAATAAACCAAAATTTTCCGACTGCTTAAAATTCACTAAAGAATCACCCTTTGAAGTGTGTTCTACATAATTCAATTTTTTTTAATCCTTTATTTCATCATTTAGAACATCCAAGAGTATTTAGAACTGCAAACGCCGGAGAAGAATTCAATTTCTTTAAACCGCGTAATGCTGACACCATTTATTATTGTCTAATAATGGATCCAAATTGTGCTGAGGTGAGTACGCTTCTTACTACGTAATTATTAGTTTTTATTACGTTTATTTAAAAGGAATTGGCCACTTCTTTAATTGAGAAATATGAATTGGATGACAAAGCGGCTACTGCTGAAATGATACAGTTCTTTGCTGATGTTGCTGGAATACAAAGTATAAAGATAAACGAATATTTTGGGATTTGTGATTATAACCAGATACTGAAAAGAATGATAGATAAAATTCCAACAAATTATCAGGTAATAATGTTTTTCTTTTAAATTATAACTCGATCTAACTATTTATTATTACAAGGATTCTGGTTATTTATTGATTAAGGAGGATGCTTGGATAAAGAAAGTGACCTCAATCTTTACGAAATTCGTGAAAATATGCGTACATAAATCCGAACAAAAAGGAAGTTTATTTAAAAATATTTTCTCTGAGTTATTTGAGTTTTTAAAAGTTTTTTGTAAATCAAAAGTGCAAGTGTTTAAGCACACAGGACTCTTTTTCGGTAAAATTATCTGAGCGTTATTAAAAATCGTATTAAAAGTGTCGTATTTGTTGCAGTTATCAATTTTTCCATCGCAATAGGAAAAATTGCAAGAGGTCACGCATTTGTGCTTTCAAAATTTAGAGATATTGCTGATTATAGCGATTATTATCGAACTCAACTTGAGAGTAAAATTAACTGTTGCGAAACTGAATTAAATTTATGTCTGCAATATTCCAGGTTTTTAGCAAGCATCATATTGTGGGAAAAGTAAGTGGTTTCATTATAAATACATTTTATGAATGTTTTTGTTGTTTTAGTAAAGTATATTATCACGGGATGAAACTGTACTATAAGTTATATGTAACAAGTTTGCCCCTTTTATATATTTCTGGAGATGATGTAGTGAAGAACGGATATGTATCCAGTCTTGTTTATTATCTTAATTATCAAGTGGTATGTATTAAATATAAGCATATTCCAAAATTGTAATCTGAAATTTTTCACAAATTTCTTACAAAGTTTTTATCTTATTATTATTATTATTGCTGCCAGGCTGGGGGGTGCGGTCCCTTTCGCCACTGCGACCTATAAGATCTATTGCAACTTTAGCACTTCAAAAGTTTAGGGCAAATGTAGGTCTATAATGAACCTTAGTATTGCTCCAAGGTCTTGTTTCTTTAAGCTTTACCGAAAATTTTACCTTTATCAACTACGAGGCCTAATTTCTTATAAAATTCGGCCACTATTCGATTTTTTCTTTCCTTTACTTTTTCTTTGTCATTTTCATCCCTTGCTTGCCACTTCTGTAACTCCAATTTATATGCTATATGCAGTAAATATTCATAGCATCTAAGATGTGCATGAAGTATAGAAATACCATATTTAAATGTGTCTTTATAATAGACTCTGTTCTTTAGTTTCTCCAGATCATTTAAATCTTTAGGAGTAGCCTTACACACATTGCACGCTTGTGAACTTGAAGTATCAGTCAAAATGTTGACTGTCTTTCCATCCAGCATCGTACATATGGGAATATGTATAAATTTGATTTGCTTAGTTCCTAGAACGATTATCGTGGGTTCCAATTTCAATATTTGTGTTTGTACTTCGTTATATTCTTCTTTTACATTTTGGACAATTTCTTTCTTTATTTTAAATCCAATTGGACGGCAATACCTTGTCGATGATGGTGTCGTATTCCTCCAATATATTTTTTTGTTACTGCCATTAGATTCACATATTTGTAGTGGCACGATCGTACACTAAATGATGTTGGAATCCGCATATTCCGAATTATTGGCAAAATTTTGTTTGTAAATACTGTGTCCACCGCTGCTATCTAAGCCCCATTTATAATAAACTTCGATAGTATCACAGTCCTCCGAAATGTTTTGAAGTATTACATCAGCCTGCACTTGTGCTAAATAATATTTGTTGGATAACACTTCCTCTTTGTCTCTGCTATCACATGATATGAGGGATAAATATCAGCCCCTTTTTCTTTTGCTCCAAGTCGCATCGTTATGTTATCCTCTTTTATCAACTCAAGATCCACTATAAGAGCTAAAGCTTCTTCAGGGCTGTACGGTCTTATATTATTTTTAGCCTGTACGAAGGATGACGTATCTTGTACCTTTTTCATTTTTTTTAATGTGTTGGGCGAAGATTGTATTGTTAATTTCATAACCTGAGCTGCAGTTCTTTTGCCTGATTTCACGAAGCTTGATTTTGCAGCCAAGCAGAGTGTTTCTGAGCAGAGATTTGATACAATTGGTTCAACATGTCGTTGCTTACTGCGTTGAGAGCTCTCTTCGAATAATTTTATTGGCCTGCCTCGCCTCTTTGGTGCTGTTGCTGCAAGCTGTGGTGGCTGTATGTCCGGGAGTTTCAAGTCTTCATTAAGCCATTTCATATGCTTGTTGTTAAAACGCTCGTACATATAATTACAACCTCGCCATTTCGTCAAAACCTTCGTAACAAACACTTTGACCACAAGTTTTATTTGTTTTGTACAATTTTCAGAAAGTTCACTAATGCTAAACTTGTCCAATATATACTGTAATAATTGTTCATTACACTTTAATGACGATAACCTATAAAACTGTTTATTTTTTAACACTATAAACAGTTCTTTTCTCTTAATCTTTATTTTCATTAAAGCGGGGTCGTCACAACCTGAAAAATACCCTCTATTTAACGAAGGGGAAAACAAGGGGACTTCTAGTTTATTTTTTGATGTTATTTATAATTTATAAGATATTTTTTGGAACTTTTTATATAACTCTAGCTAAAGTTGACATTTCAAAATTTTTTGAAGCAAATAATAATGTTATATAATGTGCATCATATCTAAACTACGAACAACTGTTAAGTTGACAGTAGTGGCAGATTAAAGTACATACCTGACGCTTCAATATCCATATTGAAAAACTAACGATTTTAAATTTAGGAAAATATTACGAACGTAATTACTCTGTCAACAATTCACGCGTAACTAAGTGTATTCCCCGTGCAAAAGATAAGCCAACTTTGAGCAGACGGGTAGGCTATTCCGTTACGTTAACAAAAAAAAATTTTACTGTTCATGTCTGACTAGATTATAATGAACATTTTGAAGGTATTTGTGATTAGTTTAAAGATAAAACTTATATCTATTTTTGTCGTCGTAATTTAGTTATTTGTCCTTATGTGCGCCGATGAACTAATAAGTTTTGTATCAAGTCTCGTCTCGTTTTTCGTACAAAAGTTTCATAAAAGTGTCGAAATCTCGTCATGCATAATCTTATTGTTTCAGTGCAATAAGGAATACTTAAATACTTGCTATAATGTAAGAGTCGGAAGAGAGAATTACAGCCCTCAGCCCTATCGGTCGCAAATGATTTTGTTTTTCACCCAATCGTTTAGGCATAACAAACATCGTGCAGATTTATTATCAAGGCGATTTTGATGTTTTCTTATAGTTAATGCAGCACGTGAGAATAATCTTTACACCGGGACTGAAGTCAAGAAAGTCATTACACTTAAAATAGAAAATTCAGAATTTTACACCATTGTAATATATCTGTGTCTTTATTACACCGACGCATAGAATAATATTTTTGAAGCTCCTGCATCCATTCTCCTTCGGAAGGCGTAGGATTTACTGCATACAAAACATCAAAATCAATGACAACATCCGACTTTTCCGCTCTAGAATCTTCTCGTTCCTCCAATGGCGTTACTTTCGAACGTTGGCCTTCTGATTAATGGAAATAGGCTTTGTATACATCTTCAAATTTCTGAATCGAAGTCTCTTTTAATTCTTGGCTCCATCTTGTCATATCAAAAATTTCTATCTTATGCCGCGAATTGAGAATTAAAATTGCAGCATAAATCTAATTAGTTTTATGATAATGCTTTAATATTTTGTCTGTCGCAGCCTGAAAACTAACTACAAGCTGCTCTTCGACAGCGTTTCGATCATGAAAATATTTTGCTCTCAATATTATCTATTAGTATATTGCTACATACAACCACCATAGGTAATTTGACGTACTTCTCTCCTCCGAGTTTCTTGGGAAGTATTTGAAAGTGGACTAGTAGTTTATGCACTTCTTCTAGCAGTATCCATTCTTTGTCCTCAAGAGCATATGATTTTAAATCAACAACATTTTGACACAATGCACCAAGTCCATGTCTACCTTCAAGTACTTTCAACATATCATTACTGAAATTCCAGCATGTAGATACGAAAATATTTACAGAAATATTGCAGATATTTGCAGAATACTTACCTGTGAAAACTGACTCTCGTACGAAACGCAAGACCTCATGCACGAGACTCGAGATGAAACCAATGAAAGTCTCGTCTTGGCTTGTCCGAGTATCGGATGACGTAAACGAGACTCTCGTACACACCACTCAACCGTACGTAACACGTACTCAGAAAAAATTACAAATTCCAAAGAGGAACATGGAATCTTAAAATTTTATTTCACAGCCTTATTCCCCATCCCCTGAAGGACAGGAATCCGTAAACACCCCGAAACACTCTTTTCAGTTAAGGTTTAAAAAAAAATCCCAAAGTTTGAATCGCATATAACACCAGTACCTAACATGTACTCAAAAAAAATTGCAATGTCCAAAAAGGAACATCGAAATATCAGCAAACGTTCATTCAACAAAGTTCTAAATTGGCACGATTACTCTTCAAATGCTGTCAAATACATAGATTGTCATTTGCTGTATCACAGTATTTTATCAAAATGCCAAATTTATAATGCAATTCTACACGCTTATACGGATCTAGCGACTTTAAGAAAGAAATAACGTTACTGAAACCAGTTTTTCTTTTACAATGTGCTATACGGAAAACAACTCAATACGATTCAATTTTCAAAATTTAAATCTATTTATATTAACATTTATATACAGGTGTATCTGAATGACTGCAACAAACTTCAAGGGGTGATTCTTTAGTGAATTTTAAGGGTACTTTGATATATGAACCATGGGTGCCTTTGGCTCCCCTAAGGAGCTACACCCCTTCAAAAATGGCGGAAAATTTTGGTTTAATTTTTTTTTCTCAAAAACCATAAACGCTAGGAAAATGAAATTTGGGGAATATGTTTAACTCATAATAGGGCACGTTTTGACCCTATTTGTACTTTCAACCTACCCTTCTAAACTACTAAACGTAACCACCCCCGTTCAATTTATGCCTAGATTTTTTTTATGAAGATGATAAATACATTGGAAAAATTTCAGTTAGATAGATAAAACTATTCTAAAACTTTTTTGTCTCTCTGATGTTCTTCGAAAAATTAATAATTTCTGAGAAAAAAAATAATTAAGCAAACACTAACTGTTAAGCTGTAGGGTTGTTAATCGAAAGTTGGAATGAATTTTTAATGAAAAAATCTTAGTAGGCTTTGCAATCTTTGTCAGAAATATTTTTGACGTTTAAATATCAGTGGTTTTCTTACTTTATTATTGTTTTATTTAAAATTTTGAAACGTCGAGTGAACGAGCGTAAATGCGATAGAACTTTATTCAAAAATTAATTTGAAAAACAATAATAATAGTAAGAAAAACTGACATTTAAACGTCAAAAATATTTCTGACAAAGATTGCAAAGCCTACTAAGATTTTTTCATTCAAAATTCATTCCAACTTTTGATCGACAACCCCGTTGTTTAACGGGCAGTGTTTGCTTTACTATTTTTTTTCTCAAAAATTAGTCGTTTTTGGAAAAATTTCAGAGAGACAAAAAAGTTTTAGAATACTTTCATCTATCTATGTAAAATTTTTCTAATGTATTTATCATCTGCATAAAAAAAATTTTAGCAAAAATGTAAAGGGGGTGGTTACGTTTAGTAGTTTAGAAGGGTAGGTTGAAAGTACAAATAGGGTCAAAACGTGCCCTATTATGAGTTAAACATATTCCCCAAATTTCATTTTCCTAGCGTTTATGG